TTAAATTAAAATTAGTATAATTATAATTAAGATAATCATCATAATTTATTATCTGCCTACCAGAACCATTCATAATTGGTGTACTAGGCCGTGTTATATATCCAGCATCATTGTGCAACTGATTCCATGTCATACGTGTACCTGAAGCCGTTCCGGGGCGAGGAAATGATTGTAACCTTGTTGATTGATGAGAATATTTTTCGTAACCATCACCAATGAAGGTAGAATACGTTTTATTAGATGATTGACCAATAAAACCCTTATCATGACTGTTAATGTATCGAAATATGTGTTGGTTATTATGGTCATATTAATAGTTATCTTGAAGAACATTCATAATAAACTAATTGACTACTTTATTTGATTTGGAGTTACTCCACCATCAAATTCTTCACCTTTATTCCATAATGATTGATTTTCTGGTGTAAATCCATTGCCATTATTATTATAATAGTAGCCATGTTGAACAGGTGAACTACTATCTGGTAATGACAAACGCGTGGGTGGATTTGGCGTCCTTGGCTTACAAATCTATTAATAGTTATTATTTTATAAAAAGGAAAATATAAATAAAATAAAGTATATATAATAAAATACCTGATTTGGCGATACATGATTACTATGATTGCTATGACGATCACCGGATAATTTACGAGTTCGTAAACTAGAAAAAGTATAACCTTATTTCTAAATATATAATTCATATGTAATATCGGTTATCTTAATAAGACAAACCTAGAATTCAGCTTTGATGGGGATTCCGTCGTCTCATTTACAGCTATGCTTGAGCGAACATCTTGTATTTGAGCTTTTAACCGTTGATTTTCTTTTTTAATTGCTTGTAATTGACTTTATGTAAATGCCGTGCAAGTTAATTTAAAGAGACCGTACGAGTTAAATATAACTATAAATAATGTAATTTACTTTTTTATATCTTTATATTGAAGCAATTCGTCTTTCGCTTTGTCAAGCATTTGTTTTTGCTTTGTCACTTTATCTTTCAAAAATCTTAATAGTGAAAATGTATTTGTTTGCTGAAACTGAATGACGCATACTCTGGATATAAATAATGGTGTAATATGTCAGAAGTTTTTTTAATTCAGAAAGGGTTGAAATTACCCTCATAACATCAGCAGCTTCATCCATTATTTCGTGAGCAGGTCGAAAAAACATATTGAGGTTTGGAGGAAGCTAAGTAAAAACCTTTTATTATTATTGCTTATTTTTCAAAAAGTAGCTTTAAGAAAGTTCAACTCAACTCTTACTTGATCGCTCAGTTCGACGGCAGCGCACTTGATATTGCACACAGGACAAGTATGTTCGGTTGCGGTTGAAGGGCTTTCTGAACATTCGTTGGCAATAAATACATTGTAGAACAACTAAATTCCGAGATTATTATACTTAAAGCAGGTTTTAGATTTTACTTTGACTGGTATCACCGTTTTTATTTAGACACTGCAGACAGATTACATGACCACACTCAGTCAACCAAAATCGTATTTGCGTTTCTTGGGCTTTAGAAGACGTTAAATACACAAAACACGCGTTGCAATGAAGAAATTCATTCTGCATGTTGGAATTGAGAAGCCGTGCGCACGAAAATATTAAACTATTTATCAATTATTGTTATTGATCGAATCAGTTAAATTACCGATCATCATGGATGATAATTTGAAAAGAATATTTGATAAAATTTAATAAATCATAATATGATTTTATTGTTCTTTTAAAGTTTGGTAGTTTCGGTTAATACATATTGATATCTAGGACATCTAGGATATTCAATCATAAGCTTTTTTCTTTAAAATGCTTATCTATAAATTTTAGAACTAAGGTATATATAAAATCCGGTTCCAAACTTTACTTAGACGTACAAAAACAAAATAAAATGAACAACATTTTAAACTGAATATATTTTTTATTAATCAGTACTGCGCATTCTCATTTTATACGTTATTATACCTATTTTCTCAAAATCAAACATACTGATAAAATCCTATGAAAAACCTAACGATAAGTTGGGAACGCTAATATCAATATTCTATTTACATTCTTGATTTAATATGAAAAAAAAAAAAAATAAAGCATTTTTTATCCTTTTTTTTTGTTTTTTTTTTTTGTTTTTTTTTTCTTTTTTTTCTTTTTTTTTTCTTTTTTTTTTTTTTCCTGAAATAGCGCAAAACAGAAGCTTTGATCCCATATGTCTAAAAGCAATTAAACATGCTTGTTTTCATCGAAATTAAGTTTTATTATGGTTCGCAGGAGGTGCAAATGTCAAACGTTGTTCATAAAATTTAATCATCTATATTATTAAAATATAATTAGAAATAAGTATACATAAAAGACAAATCGTATTTTTAAGAGAATCAGATGATACCTTCTGGGGACATCTTGCGTTGGCATCTTTTGCTGGATGTCTGGATGTTTCCCCATTTTTCCTAAATATTATTTAAGTGTTCATTCATTATGATTATTTAAAAAAGATTATTACTATTGAAAAAAGAATACTATTCGTTATTAATCAAATAAATAAATACGCATACCATTTTAGATATACCAATAATTCACCGTTTTTATCATCACGTGTGACAGTTTCAACTGCAACAACCTGATTTTCCCAATCTTCATCAAACTCATCTTCTTCCATCTTAGTTCTCGGCGATTTTGTTTTCTTTGAACTACGTTGTCTTTTAGAATCTTGCTTCATAACAGGCGATGATGGTTGTGCGGCCCTCTTTCTTCCCTTCGATTTTGATGTTGATGCGACTTCCTCCTCCTCTCTTTTCTTTGACCAATATTCCTCAACAAGATCATCCGCGTAGCTTTCATTTATAGAAATTGAGATAAGTCAAATTAAATGCTGTAAATCGCAGTAATTGCATTTATATTATCAGTGATTCATACACATTAGACTCAGCTTCCCAAGTACAGTCGTCTTCGCCAAAACCTTTTTTTTCAAAACAAATTAAATAAAATAATATAGTAAAAAAAAACAATTATAAAATATCATTTAATCAATTACCTTTCCATTTGATTAGGTAGTATTTAACACCCTAAAAGTAATCAATCAAATTGTTGAGAATTCTAAAATTGATTGATTATGGTAAATCGTAAGCTAATAGATAAATACTCTTTTTTCTTTATGTTGAAGAACTTCTTCAACTTCATAGATTTCTTCTTCTTCTTTATCCTCATCCTCATCTTTATCGCCTTCTTTCTTATTCTCACCATTGGCAGGTTCTTGTTCCGAAGTTTCTTCAGGTTGTTTCTGAGTTTGGTCTTTTTCTACACCAACCTTTTGATCCGCCTTATCCGCAGTTGCTAAGTTAGTATTT